CAACAATAGCAAATGAAGTTAGGAACTGGAAAATTTACAAATGTGTAGGAACTAAATAATGCTCTCTTAGACAGACAGGGCATCACAGGAGAAATCCCAAGGGAAATGAGAAATCCTTAGTGACAGATGAAAATGAAGACATGCATTCGAAAACTCTGGGATGCCGTGAACGCAGTGCCAAGAGGGTATTTCACAGCTGTAAAAAGATCTCAGATGAACAATGTAACTTTTTTATCCTCACCTGGGGCTATTTTTTATTATTGACATTTTGAGAGAGAGAGGAAGGGAAAGAAAAAAAAAACAATATGAGAGAGAAACATCGGTCAGCTGCCTCCCATACATGCTCCCACCAGGGATCAAACCCGCAACCTTTTGGTTTACAGGACAAGGCTCCAACCAACTGGGCCACCCATCCAGAGCTGAACAACCTAACTTTTAAGGAACTACAAAAAAAAATTAAACCCAAATCTAGCAGAAGGAAGGAACTAATAAAAATAGAGATAAGTAGAGAACAGAGAAAATCAGTGAAGACTGAAACTGGTTTTTCAAAAAGATTAACAAAGTTGACACACCTTTGGCTAGATTGACAATTAAAACAAGGAGAGATTCAATTACTAAACTCAAAAATGAAAGCGGGACATTACTTCCAATTCTATAAAAATAAAAAGGATTATGAGAAAGTACTATGAACAATTATATGAGAACAAACTGGATAACCTAGAGGAAACAAGTGAATTCCCCAGAGGACAAACCTGCCAGGATGGATCTTTGCCTCCACCAGAGCAACGGCACCAAAACACCCAGGCACCGGGTGGCTTGCGTGCTGAGGATGCGCCTCCAGTGCCGCTTTAACAACGGAAGCATCCGCCTCGCATTGTGGACACAGTTCCTCCGTGCCACCTCCCTTCCTCGTGCCATGGCCCTGTCTGTGTGACCAGAGTCCTCAAGGCCGTCATTTCCACAGCACCAGGGGCTCTGCCAGTGGGTGTGACATTGTCCTCCTGCACCCTCCTCGGTCATCACCCAGGGTGCCCCGAGTTCGTGTTCACTGCTTCCAGTTAGCACCCGAGCAAACTCCTCTGCATAGCTTTTCCTCTTCGATTATTTTCTTGGGATAAATTTCCAAGGATCTGATCCAACGCAAGGCACCTCCTGGCACGCTGAGCCAGACCTGTACCATTCAAGGTGGCTGAGAGGACACCCCCCCCCCACACCAGTGTTTAAGGGCCGAGCAGCACTCACATTTTATTGAGGCTTGTTCATGTAATGGGTGTAAAGTGGACACCCACTGAAGTCACGCCAGGCATGTCCACACACGGAGCCCCGGGCCCTGGCAGGGCAGAGGGCATGACCTTGAGGCAGTGGTTACCAGGGGGCAGGCAGAGCAGAGGTGGCCCTGAGCTCAGGTCCCTCCTGCACGGCCCAGGCGCTCAGCCCCTCCCAGGTACCATGTGCGGCCTGGATCACAGCAGCACAGGCCAGGGAGCGGCGACCTCAAGGATTTTCAGTTGTGACAATAAACACTTTTTCCATCATCACTGGCCTTTTTTAAAAAATTGTGGTAAAATACGCCTAACATGAATCCTACCACCTTCACCATTCTGAAGCGTGCAGGTCAGCGACATGAAGGGCATTCTCCGTGGTGTGCGGCCACTGCTCCGTCTGGCCCCGGGACCCTCTCATCTTCCCCAAATGACATTCCGTCCCCATGAAACGCTAGCTGGCGTCCTCCTCCCTAGCCCCAGGTCCCTCATGCACTATCTGTGTCTGCAACCCTGCCTGCTCCTGGTGCCGCCTGTTCACAGGGTCACACAGCGTCTGTCCTGCTGTGACCGGCTTATGTTGCTGCGCAGAATGTCCTCCAGGTCCACCCATGGTGCAGCAGGGGGCAGAATGTCCTGCCTTTTTAAGACAGAATTATTCTGTTATGCTGTAGCTCACATTTCCTGGATCCACCGACGGACACTCGGAATGCTTTACTGGTGGCTTTTAAAAATTGCCCCTGGGCACCCGGACACGGGATGCTGCCAGGCAGTGAACTGACGTGGAACGAGGGCACTCTGTCCCGACGCAGAAGCAGCTCCAAAACGCAATGTGAGTGGAAGGCACGCGAAGATGCACATGTGCTGCTTGCTCACGCAATAGAAACAGAAAAGAGGGACGATACGGACAGCATGTGCTTGTCCTTGTCTAAAGCAGCTCCGGAAAGACCAGAACTCCTAAAGGCTTCTGGAAGGGTCGTGGCGAGTGGGTGGGGCCTCCATCTCCACCTGCAGCCGTAATCACACCAGGGCCTCCTGCCCTCAGTCCTCAGCACAGACACCCCCACTCCAGCCCCTCTCTGTGTCCCAGGCAGGCTGGAGCCCCTGCTCAGAAGGAAGAGGCCGGCTCAAGCCCCTGCCAGCCCTCACGCAGAGGTGGGGTGGGCCCCAGACCCGTCCCATCCCCACCAGGCCATCCAGCACACTAAGGGAGAGGGGAGAGTCGTGGTGGGGCACCACCAGGCTCTGGTCTTACCCACCCTCTCTTGAGACCACATCCAACACAGGGAGCTGTCCCCCTTGCCCCTCCCCTGCACCCACCTGCAGTGCACAGGCCTCTGGGGTCAGCCTCTCCGCATGCCTCAGCTGGTTGCCTGCCTCCACTGCCAGCTCCAAGGGTCCTGTCGGGTCCCCAGGGCCTGAACGGTGCCAGCAGTCACTCCACACCTGCACACACACGGGAGCTAATATCCCTCAGCAACAGCGTAGGAAGCCAGAGGCTGCAGCCAGGACACCCGCTTGTCTGTGCAGACGCAAGTCTGGGCCTGGCTGGGGACACAGTGGCTGGCTGGACGCTGGAGGGACCCACTGCAGCCCGTCCACTCTCTGGGCATTCCTGAGCATCAGGAGGGCCTGGTCCCCCCACCCCAGCCTCTGTCGTGAGCTCATTGCTCCAGGGCACAGCTGGGTCTGTGCCCCCCACCCCCATGTGCCCAGCACCTCACACCCAACCCCACTTCCAGGCAGGACCCAGAGATACTCGAGGAACTCCCCAGCTCGCCCCTAAAGGGGTAGCATCTGGCCATCAGAGAAAGTCCCCTCCCACACCTCTGTATTCCACCTTGCTCTGCAGAGAGGTTTCCAGAATCATCTCCACCCCTGCTACTGACTTGCCCTGGAGAACACTGGCCCGGTGCCACAGGGAGAAGCTTCCAGGCATCCACCTGACAAGGGAGAGTTTGCTGGCCTTGAGTGTGTTCTGTCTTGTGGAACTAGGCTCGGACACGGGCCCTGGGCACAGGACACAGCTGTGCCCTCCCCAGAGCTGACCATCACCCCTGGGTGCCCACCCACCGAGATGGACAGGAGGCAGTTTTACGAAGTTTTACAGTTTCAGCGGCTGAGATGGAATACTTAGTGCTTTGCCAGGGAAGTGCAAATAAAATGGTGGCTGTCCCAGGGCCAGCACGGTCTGGGCTGCTGTCCACACTGGTCCCCATGCCCTCCCAGCCTTCTGTGGGCTCCCTCTGATCCCCAACGTCAGCTCCGACTCTCCGTGTCCCTCTGTCTCAAGGTCAGGCCACCAAGGGGGCAGGGAAAGACAGAAACGGACCTGGGATGGGGTCTGCCAGGGGGACAGCTGGGCAAGGCGAGCTGGGCGACGGGGACACAGATCTCTGGAAGGCCCCTGTGGTGAGCCTGCAGGATTCCACGGTTAAGAATGTGGGGGCGATTTGCTCTGGCCTGTGTGGCTCAGTTGGTTGGAGTATCTATCGTCCCATATACCAAAAGGTTGCAGGTTCGATCCCCAGTCTGGGCGCACGCAGGAAGCAACCAATGGATGGTGCTCTCTCGCATCAATGTTTCTTTCTCACTGCCTCTCTCTCTAAAAGCTATGAAAAAAAAAAGTCCTCAGGTGTGGAGAGAGAAAAGAATGTGAGAGAGACTTAAATGCCCAGAGTAGGCGACAGTTAAGCAGCCCCAGGCTGGGCCAGGGCCTGTGGCTGTGCAGGCTGGGGCAGGCCCCATTCGGGAGGACCCCAAGGATTGGTGGCGGAGCCTGGGGAGGAAGCCCAGGCCACTGCACACTCGGGGAGGGTGCCTGCTGCAGGCTAGACCCAGGGTTAGGGTAGGGCCAGGCCCAGGACTTGCCCTGGCCCCCACCTGGCGCAGGTTTGGTGAGAAGTTGCCATGTGACGACCACAGGGAGCCTTTTCCACAGCAGACGCCACCAGCGGTATCCCCAGCACTCAACATGGTGACAGGGAGGAGGAGCTGCTGGTCCCACCAGAGGTCAGGCCCACTCTAGGTGGAAGGGGGCAGGCGCTGCTGCAGGCAAGCAGGGAAAGTCCGGTGAGGAGGAGATGTTTCAGCTGTGTCCAGTGAATAAAGGAGAGAAGGTGGTAGCAGGGCCTCCTGCAGGAGGGAACAGCTGGGTGGTCACTGGGGCCTAATTGGGAAGAGCCTGGAGTGCCAGGCTGCACTGGAGACCCAGCTTCAAGGGGCCCACACAGCGGGGGGTGGGGGGCCCACAGAGCAGCTCAGGCACAGCAGGACCCAGGGCCCACCCGCTGACCTCAGAAACGAGCTCGCTTTCCTGGCCCCTTATGGGGACAGGATGGTCCCAGCAGGGACATTGCACCAGCTCAGGGACCCTGGGTGAAAGGGTCTCCAAGTGCCGCAGAAGTTCTGGGGTTACACCTAAGGCCCTAGTGTGTGGATCAGGCCCATCCCTCATCCCATCTGTGGCCGGATGGGGCCTGACACAGACCCCGGCTCGGGGGCGGGAGTGGACTCTTGAGAGAGTAGGCCCCTCATGGCTTGGCTGAGAGTGGGAGAGCTGGTTCCTGGGGGGTGATGTACTGTGGGCTGGGGGTCCCTGTCAATGCTCCCAGGAAGTGATCACTGGGCCCACGTGGGCACAGAAGTGCCTGTGGGGGACAGGGCCCACCCAGCCAGGAGCCCAGGGGACGGGCAGGCCCCAGCTTAGGTGTGTCCACCTGCTCCTCACCCTCGCAGGCAGGCATGCCCTGGACGCTGAGTGCCTCCGACATGGTCACCCCCGGCAGCCCCGGCCCACCCCCCACCGAGCCCACGGACAGCAAGCAGGCGGAGCAGCCCCTCCTGGATGGGGCTCCATCCTCCGCCTCCCTGGACACCCTGATCCAGCACCTGGTGCCCACGGCCGACTACTACCCCGAGGTAGGTGGCCCGCTCAATGCAGGGAAGGAGCAATAGTAGGGGCTCTCCTCCACCAGGCGTGGGGGAGGCAGCAGAGCTGGGGCTGGCCTTGGGGGCGGGTCTGGGAAGTACATGCCCTCCACACGCCGGCGCATGCAAGTGGCCTTTCTCCCGTGACCCCCAGAAAGCCTACATCTTCACCTTTCTGCTGAGCTCCCGCCTGTTCATCGAGCCCCAGGAGCTCCTGGCCCGGGTCTGCCGCCTGTGCATCGAGCAACAGCAACTGGACAAGCCGGTGCTGGACAAGGTGAGGGCGGGGCGGAGCAGGGACCTCTGCATGTGCGGTGTGCCGGCACTGCCCTGATGTGCCCTCGTGCCGCCAGCCCTTGGAGAGGCAGTGACTGTCCCCACTGTCCTGCAGAGGAACCCAGTGTAGGTTTCTGACTTGTCTGGGGGCCCTGGAGCTCACACCAAGCCCAGACCGGCTCCCAGAGCCTCATCCTGGGACCCCTGCCACCTAGGATGGCCCAGAGCACAGGCTGGGCTTCCTGCCCACGGCACACTCTGCTCCAGCCTTCCCTCCGCTGCAGCCCAGCCTTCCCTGCCAGACACCGCCCCCCCCAGCCAAGCCAGCAGTCCCCTCTCCCCCCCAGTCAAGCCAGCAGCCCGCCCCTCCCCCCCCCCTCCCCCCAGCCAAGCCAGACTCATTTTGCACGGGCAGCTCCACTTGCATGAGGAAAGGCAACCCCGCAGCTCTGGGCTCAACGCCTATGCTTCTCAATCCGGTGTAGACCGCGGTCTCAGTGGCTTCGCCTAAGCCGCCAGACCAATCACTGTCAGCCAATCACTGTGTGTGATGGGCACGTGCCATGCTCTGATTGGCCAGCACTGATCTGGGTCCACTCCCGCAGCCCTGGGGTGGGGTCTGCTGCCCAGAACCTCACCAACTGGGAGTGGGGGATGGGGAGACTCCGAAGGCCTCTGAGATGTGTCACCACAAAAGTGGGTGGGATTCCTGGCAAAAACAGGAGATGGCTCCACCCCCAAATGTCCATGTCCCCCCTGTGGTCAGCCCCCATCTAGGGTCACCTGGCATCATCACCCACCCCAGGCAGCCACTGCCTGGGCAGCGCAGACAGGCAGGGAGTGGCTGGGGCGGTGGCTGCCATGGCCCCAGCAGCCCTCAGCGCATGTGGGAGCCCTCGGCCTTGCCTTGCAGGCCCGGGTCCGGAAGTTTGGCCCCAAACTGCTCCAGTTGTTGGCAGAGTGGACGGAGACCTTCCCACGGGACTTCCAGGAGGAGTCAGCCATCGGGCCCTTGAAGGACGTGGTGGGCCTCATCGCCCCCTGTGATGAGGTGGGTGAGCCGAGGGTGCATCACCCCACCCGCGCCTCAGTCCGCGCCCTGAACCCGCTTCCAGGCCCTCCTCAGGGTCCTGGTCTCCCAGCTGCTCACTCACCGGAACCTCAGCCCTGCCAGCCCCATCAGGCATTGCAAGGCTGGCAGAGAAAGCAGGCCTCCACTCCTGGTCTGCCTCTTGTCCGCAGGCCTGCCCTGCTGTCCTCACTGCCAGTGGATGCCAGGTGAGGGGAGGCCCACCTGGCAGAGACCTTGTGGGCCTGGGGCACAGAGGCCTCCCTCCTGCTGGTGCACCTCGCAGGACAGACTAGCAGCCCATGCTCCTGCAAGACCTGCAGCCAGGGCAGGGAGAGGGCTCCTCGGGGTGAACAGAGCTGACAATACTGGTGGGAATAGTAGCCACGGACAGCATGCCGGGGCGGTTCTCTGGGGTCCCCTGCGCCCCTGCAGTAAGTTGTCCTCCAGGGCAGGCAGGAGAGAAGGTCCCTGCAGCTCAGACCACACCCAGAGGAGACTCCACTCTTGCACTCTGATGTCTTGGGAGGCAGCCTGGGAACTGCCTGCACCCCACACCGTGGCCTCCCAGCCGCCTTACTCTGGGGAAGGCAATTAAAGGTCTCCAAGCCTCACTTTTAATATGGGCAACAAGAGGACAGAAATCCCCCAGGAGTATGATGAGACTGCAAAGAAGGGGGTGGAGCATCCAGGCACATCTAGACGGGGCACTTATGGGCCTCTGAAGAATTGCAGCGTGGATGTTACTCCATCTGGAGGGAGAGGTTCAGGGCTCGAACACATCAGTGCGCTGGGAGGAGACCCTGTGGCAAGGTGGCAGCGAGGGAAGGGCCCCGGAGTGGGTCTGCCCCTGGCTCTGCCCCTGGGACACAAAGGAAAACTGCTAGGGCTGGTCAGGCCACTGGCAGCCACAAAGCCCAGGCTTACCTCAGGCTCAGAGAGGGAGGCTGTGCCCTGGAATCACTTCACAGCAGACAAGTGACTTCACTGTTTTGGGTGCCTGGTGATAAGTGAGGGTCATGTCCTCCTCCTCTGCACCCCTGGTCCATCTGGGAGTCACGGTGCTGCATTAGGAGCAGCCGGGAACAGGGCCAGGGGACGCTCGATGATTGGATGAGTTGAGGTGGCTGGGGGGAGCAGGAAGGAGAGGCACTGGGTGGCTGGCTGGAAAAATAGGTGGCTGCTTTGACGGATGGGTGGAGGGGAAGGGAGCTGTTGGATGTCTACATGGAGAGGTATAGCTGGGTAAGCAGGTGGAGATGGGGGGTGGGTGGACGTGGGAGGACTGATGGGTGACCAGAGGGAGGGAGGGCATGTGGATGGGTGGATGGAGGGACTGGTGGGCGGAAAGGTGAGTGGGCCGATGCCAGGAAGGAGGGAGGAGGGATGGGTGAGGGAGGTGGTGGGTCTATGGTGGCAACTGCATCAAGGGGTGGTGGACAATAGCAGACTGGGGAAAGGAGTGGGTGCGGGAAGGGTGGGTGCATGGGTAGATGGAGTAAAGGCTACAGAAGGGGACGAGAGCTCCGTCTCCTGCGCCTTCACCCTCCCCCCTGGAGGTCTTCAGCAGTGGTGAGGTTTGAGCCATTGACAAGACAGGACTGCTGGCCCTTGGCTGGGCTGCCTCTTCCGTGGGCAAAGCCATTCAGAGGCAGGGCCTGCGACTCTGGCCGCAGTGGCCAGGACAGGTCCTCTGCCAGTCTCCTTGGGAAGCCATGTTCCCTCACTGGCCCCCTGGGAAGCTGTTGGCTGTGCTGAGGAATCTTTCCAACCACCCAGTGGAAAGAACCAGATGCACCTGAGACCTGTGTTTGGAGACCTATGCTGAGAGCAGCCGTCCCCCAGGTGTGGGATTTTGGAGCAGAAATGACTCATTCGGGACATTTTAAAAAAAGATTTTATTTGGCCCTGGCTGGCATAGCTCAGTGGATTGAGCGTGGGCTGCGAAACAAAACATCGCAGGTTCGATTCCCAGTCAGGGTATGTGCCTGGGTTGCAGGCCACAGCCCCCAGCAACCACACATTGATGTTTCTCTCTCTCTCTCTCTTTCTCCCTCCCTTCCCTCTCTAAAAATAAATAAATAAAATCTTTTAGAAAAAAGAGTAAAACAAAAGAAACAAATTTCTCTTAAAAAAAAGATTTTATCTGTAAAGAGAAGGAAAGGGGGGGAAGTGAGGGACAGAAACATCGATGTGAGAGAGAAACATTGATTAGTTGCCTCTCCTCCACGCCCCATCCACGGACCACACTTGCAACTCAGGCAGGTGCCCTGACTCGGAATCAGACCCTCGACCTTTTGCTTTGTGGGACAATGTCCAACCCAATGAACCATGCTGGTCAAGGCTCATTTGGGATATAATTTGACTCTTCCCTTTATCAGTGATGTGAGCTGGAACCAGGGTTACCCAGCACCCCCACCACCACCCAGGCCCAGGCCAGGGGCCCCCGAGCATCTTTATGATCCCCAGGTTGTGTAACCTCAGAAAACCCCTGCTCCAAGAGGGAGACCTGCTAGGGCCCAGCCCACTCCCTGGCTGCTGCAGGTGGATTGCAGGGGCACCCCTCCCTCCATGGGCAGGGGCTCATCTCAGAAGGGAGCAGGAGAGCTCTGCTCCTTCCTGGGTGAGGAAAGGCCCTCAGGACCACCTAAGCCCAGACACAGGCTTGGGAAGCACAGCTCCGTGACCTCAGGCCTGGCGCCTGCCCTCTCTGAGCGTCATCAGTAAAACGGAGATGATCACTATACCCCCCACCCCCACCACACAGCTTTGAGGCAAAGTCCCTAAAGTCGCTTGTGTTCTTATTTCAGCTCTTGGTTAAGGTGAGCTCTGATGAGGAACAAATTCTTTCCAAAAGTCAAGTGTACGGGGATTATTTTTAACCTCATGGAGCTTTTCAAACAGATGCAAATGCAGAGAACAGCAGCCATAAACTCCTGAGCACCCAGCCCCAACTTCAACAACTACCAGTCCACCCACCTTGTTCCCAGTCCCCTCACACACTTCCCCTGACAAGTTATTTTTAAACACAGACATGTTTTTGCTCCAAAATTGTTTCAGCATTATCCTGTAAATAGGTTCTCACACGGGGTGGAGTCACGAGACACGAAGCGTCATGCATGCACGTGACAGTGAGGCGAGCGCAGGTGCTTCTGGGGCTGTGGGCCTTTGGGCAAGTGGCTTAACTTCTCTGAGCCTTGAACGACTTCTGTGAGAGGGAGGGTGACAGTCCCTCCTGCGCAGGGCTGCGAGGGCCCTGCACACACGCGCGGGGCCAGGCTGGTGGGGCTTCCCCATCAGAGTGGCCAAGAAGGGTGACACCTTTCTCTCGTCCCTCCCCTTCCCCGGAGACCCGTCTGCACTGTGCTCCCACCGCCTCTCTGTAGCTGGGAAGGCCATTCTTCATGCCTGTGGGCACTGGGGTGCCCACGGAGGCCTTCCTGGCACCTGGCCACTGCATCAAGACTCGTGCTCTGGGCTACCCTATGCTGGCAGGGGGCCAAGGCGTGTGTCGAAGCCAGCCCTGTATGCTCTAGCTTAGGGATGCAGTGCCAAAACTGAGGGAGGCTGGGGGAGCCCAGGGAAGGGAGGTGGGACCAGAGGGAAGCAGTGCCTTGGTCACACCCCCTGGACCCCTGCAGAGGAGGCTGCAGTGCAGGGTGGCCCTCCTGGGGCCTGACCTTACTTCCCCCGGCTCACACAGCCCTGCCTGCCCGCTGGACTGACCCTGCTGCCCTCCTGCTGCTCCCCAGGGCACAGGAGGCCGAAGGCTGACACGGAGAACAGATAGGCGGGAGGTCCAGAGCTCCTGCTTGGAAGAGCCAGGGGTGGTCAGCCCCCAGATACTGATCTTGGCATGGCTCAGGGTGGGGTGAGAGGGGCTTTCAAGAACTTCAGAGAACAGAGGCCCCCAGTCTAGCCAGAAATAGGGGTTCTAACACCCAATCCAGGCAAACTTGGAGGCACCTGGGGAGCTGCTGCTGCATCCTCTGCACTTGAACCTGACAGTGTGCATGCAGCAAGCAGGCTGCTCTGTGGACGTGGATGGAGAAGATGGCCAGACCCTGTCCTCCCAGGCCTGCAGGAGAGCCCCGAGGGGTCACTGCACCTTGCTGGGCATGGTCTGGCACTGGGAAACAGGGGCTGCTGCCGGGATGAGAAATGCCTCACCGCTCCCCTGTGGGACTCTGCACGGGCCCAGGTATGCCCCGGGGCTATGCTGGCCTCTATCCACCGGGTGCAGGAATCGGCGAGAAAATGGAAGGAGATCTAGGTGAAGGGCAGTCAGTCCTTACATTCCGAAGGGGAGCCAGATTCGAAGATTTGGGAAAGAGGCAACCACTAAGCTTGAGGTCGGCACCACCGGAGGGACTCTCAGGGAATCAGCACGCAGGAAACAAGGGTCACTCGGAATGAGCGTCGGTTCAGTAGAAACAAGTCCTGCTAAATGATCTGCGTCTCTGTAAGCTGGTGAGTGTGCAGTCCAGTCCGAGCACAGGCCCAGGCCTGCTGTGTCCTTGGCTCCAGGAGGACTCCGTGGTCAACCCTGAAGAGGCCGGCAGGCTGGGAGCAAGCGAAGGCCATGTCCGCCCATCAGCAACCACGCGTGGGCACCTCCGCCAGCCGGGCCCTGCCCTTCATGCTGGGGCTGAGCAGCGCCGCTGGTGCGGTGTGAGGGGACAGTGACAAGAGAGGTGGGGGCAGGACATGGGCGAGCAGGTCATGGGTGGGGGCTGTGAAGAAGGGACACGCTTGCCCCTGGACCAGAGGACGAGAAGGACGTGCCAAGGGGGAGAAGGCTGCCCAGGCCCTGGGGGCGTGGGGGCAGGGTCAGAGGACAGGAATAGTGGCCTGTGTCCTGAGCACAGGTGAGGGGAGGCCATCCTGTGGGGCCCTTGCTGACCTTGGGGCCTCCAGGCCAGGCAGGGCTTTGCTTTTGTGGAAGGTGGAGACGTTGTAAGGAGGTAGGTGCAGGGGTCAGATGTGCACTTCGAGCGGACCACTGGCAGCACGGTGCAGGGGAGAGAGGCTGACACAGGGCCCCCCGCCCCGAGAAAGCCACTGCAGCCACCAAGAATGTGCCCACAGCCAGGACCCTGAGGCCATGGAGGAGGACGAAGCATGGACATGGAGGGAAGCAAAGTCAAGAGGGTCAGTGGCAGGGCGGGGAGGGCCCTGGAAGACAGCTGCAGGCCTGTGTGCCTGGCCGGTGCTCTTCCTCGAGACAGAGGTGAGGACAGCGTGACTTCCACTCGCATGTGCCAGACCGAGGTGGGCCCTGGGCCACGCGGCTCTGGTGACCAGAAGAGAAGCCGCACATGTAAATCCACGAACACTGAATGGCTCCACGAACGTGAACTGGCTCCCTGGAGTGATGTCCAGAGCAAGGGGAAGAGAGGACTGGGGGAGACAGGAGGGACCCCAGCATCTGGGCACAGCGTGGGCAGACAGGCCGGCAGACACCCCAAGGTGGGGACACCAGAGCCAAGACGACACACCCAACACTGATGCAGCCTGAGAAATGGCCCCTGGCTCCACGCCAGGCATCCTGGGAGGCTGGGGTCCGCCCGCTGGTTGGCGGAAGTGGAGCCAGTGGGGGGAGTGGACTGGAAGGCCAATGGAGCCCCCCAGAGACAGCTGGCTGCGTGAAGGAGAGAGACGGCCATGGAGGCGCCAGGGCTCCTAGGCGAGCGACGGTGCCAACCCAGGCCGCCAAGGGTGGACCTGGCTCCCTGTCTTCCCGGCACTCCGACGAAGGCCTGGGGTTTTGGATGCAGTGGAGCTGAGAGGGGCCGTGCCTTCCACAGGCAACGGCAAGGAGAGTCGGACCTCAGTTTACCCACATGCTGCCCTGCTAACCAGTGGGTGCTTTCTGGGTCTGCACCCTGTGGCTCTGGGAGTTGGGGTTCAGGTCCAGGGTCGGTGGCCCTCTGAGCCCCATCAGAGACTTGAGGAGCTGTCCAGGTGCCCCACACATGTGGCCCTCCAGCCAGATGCCCCGCCTCCCAAAACAGCTGGCCAACGCGCATCTGATCTGAACTTACCTGGCTGTGCCCACAGTTCACCTCCCAGGCCTCGGGGCCCATGTGAGCTACCTGCCACCTCGGTGCTGCCGGGGCCACCACTCCCTACCAGCCCCTTGGCCTGCGGATGATTTGGTCCACCTGGGGAGGGGCAGGGGGGCGCTGTTTGTTGGCAAGCTCGGGGGCTCTTTTTGTGGGTTGCTGACCACACTCTTGGGAACATGTGGGCATCTCGCTCAGTGAATCCAGCCAGGCTGATAGCACCTTTCCTGGGCGTGGAGGGGTCTCCAAGAGGGAAATTACCAGTTTCCCCTTGGGCAGGAGGGTGGGGCCACGGCCTTTGGTCCCTGCACCCAGTCCAGCGTGGCTGAAAGACGAGCCCACCCACCAAGCTGCATGGCGAGGGACTCCACGGGCCCAGGCAGCCTGCTCTGTGCCTGGAGCCAGCACGGCCTGAAGGCTAAGCTGGGCAAGAGGCCAGCTGCCCGGGACAGGGCCGCTCCACACCTCCCTGCTCCCCTCCCTTTGCTTCCCGGCACTGCCCCACCACCCAGACTGTTGGGGTGACTTTGGACCCCCGACACTCACCCCAATGTCTGCTCTCCAGTTTCCACTGGCACCCTTCTCTCCCGTTGGCCTTGACTGTGGCCCCAATCCCAACCTGCCCTGGATCGGGTCCTGTGGGGGCAAGTGGGGGCAAGTGGGGGCCAGTGGGGCGGTGGGGGCAGGTGCGGGCACATCCCTGCCAGCCTGGGGCCTGTCAGCCTCTGACTGCAGAGGCAGAGCTGGGTGCTCAGGCCGGTGCACCCTCTCCCCACCACGCAGACCTATAGAAGGCGGCTGCATCAGCTCTTGCAGGCCCTGCACCAGAAGCTAGCAGCCTTGGGCCCAGCGCCAGAGAGCCTGCTGGGCGGCGACAAGCCCATCTCCTACAGGACCAAGCCACCGGCCTCCATCCACAGGGAGCTCCTCAGCGTCTGCAGTGACCCCTACGTGCTGGCCCAACAGCTGACCCACGTGGAGCTGGTGAGCAGGCCCACACCACCCTCAGCCTGACCCAGAGCCAGGCACAGCTGAGCACCTCCTGTCTGGCCCCCAGGGCCATCCAGGCACCCTCAGAGATCCCTGGCTTCAAAGCAGTCTCTCACCAACCCTGGTGTGAGCACAGAAGGGCCAGCCTGCCCTGCCTAGCTTTGACCACTGGCTAGTGTGAGAGTCCAGGCCGGGACAGAAGCACTGCGTTCAAATCCTGGCTCTGACACCACCTGCTGTGTGACCTTCCCACAACTAGTGCCTTCTCTGCCCGGGCCTCGGTTTCCCCACCCAGAACTCACACAGACATACTTTGCCCACCCCTGCTTTCCAGAGGAGCCCAGATGGTCTGTCCTGTTTGTGATGGGGGTGCCTCAGCCACACCCCCAGCATTCTGGGTTTCTGGAGATGCAGAGGGCTCTCCACCCCCGGGAGGGGAGGTTGGAGTGGGTGCCTTTCCTGTTAAACCGCCACCACTTGTGAGTCCCCGCTGTTTTCAAGGCACTGTACTCCACGCTTGCATGCACTCTCATTTCTTCTTCCCATCATCTGCCAGGCAGGTGCTATTATTACTCCCTTTACACAGATGAGGAGACTGAGGCCCAGAGAGGTCAAGGGCATGTCAGAAGTCACACAGCAGAAGGGACAGAGCCAGAATTCAACTCTGACCCCAACTCTGAACCACCAGGCCACCCCTGGGGGGCGTGGGTCACCAATCGCCTGATTTCCAGACTGGTTTTCTGGGGTACCACCTCCCACAAGCACTCCCTGTGAGCTGGCAGCCCCTGGGCATGGGACAGGAGGGCTGCCTCGCTCAGAGATCGGTGACGCCCAGAGCAGGGCTGCAGAGCTCCAGGGAGAAGGGCGGGTGCCCGGGACCCTCCTGGGGTGGGCTGGGAGGCAGGGGGCCCAAAGGAGCACCATGTCAGGCCCCCCAGCGGGCACACCTCTCCCCATAACTTCTCCCAACTCCTCTTCTCCCTCCCTGTACAGGCGCGGCTGCGACACATAGGGCCTGAGGAGTTTGTCCAGGCTTTTGTGAACAAGGACCCTCTGGCCAGCACAAAGGTAGAAGGCCCTTGAACAGCTGGGACCCACTAGCCCCTCTGGTAGATCCCCAAGCATCAGCTGGGCCAGCTTCCCAGGGACCCAGGGCAGGCAACAGTCTTGGATGCTCCACCCATGCCCCAGCGGGAAGACTCTCGACAGCGACAGCCCTGAGTCCCCCAGAAGCCTTAGAGGGTGGGGTGTGCCCGGCTGACTCACCCACCCAGCGAAGGCGGAGGAGCCGTTAGCAGAGGCCCTGGGTGGGGAGGAGGGTGGAGGGCGCCCTCCACCCCCTCCTGCTGAAGGACCCCGCTTGCCTGTCTGGTGCGTTGCTGTGGACACGGGTGCCCTCCAGCGGTCACTCGGGGAAGTGCAGCTGTTGCGTGCTGCTCTGGGAAGGTCAAGCCGCTTGCTCTTTCCTCTGAGGCTGGAGTGGCCTCTGGGCCAAGCACTCCCTACACAGTCCGCACACCGATTCGGAGCCCGCCCCTCCCCTCTCAGAGCCCAGCCAGCAGGGCGCCTGGTGCTGATCAGTGGGATCATATGCTAGCCAGAACTGGAAATATTGTGTCTTCTGTCCTGAACCTAACAAAAGAAGTGCAAACTAAACAGGAGTTCGCATTTTCCCCCCTTGGATTAGCAAAGGTTAAACATTGTATCTGTTTAGGGAAGGGACACCCGCATGCCAGGGGGAAATTGGCACAGCCACTTTGGAGGGCAGTGTGGCAATAGCATCAACATCCTGGACCCCAACTTGCTGTACTTAATACTTCATTCTACATGTATGCACACCCATGCGCACAAAGATGTATGCACAAAGAATTGGGATAGTGTTTATTATGTCCTAAGGCTAGAAGCAAACTACCTTATCGTTCATAGGTACTAGACTAAAAATTTTAATATATCCATATGTAGAATGTTACGCAACTATTATAAGAGAATAAAAGCAGCTGTAAGTATGGAATAATCACCAATATGCATTGTCAGTGACAAAGAGCATGTGGCCATTTGTGACAACAAAAGGAAGGTGCATGATACACAGTCACTGGCTCTGCAGGGCTATGCAGACAGTCAAGGAATACCATTACTGCGGGGTGCTTAGTGAAGTGCCTGAGTAAAGGGGGAACCAGCTTTGCCCTTGGGGACCCCATTACACCCCAAGAACTGCTGCTGTAGGGCACCCTGTGTAACTGTGTACGTATATAGTCACACAGTGTCTGGTGCAAAGAACGCCTCTTTTTTATTACAAACCCTTTTATTACAAAATCATAAGCATGCAATTCTGTAACATAGCACTATCACACCCAAGCACATTGCATGACACTTTAGGTGAAATGTTCAAACTGAAACTAGACAGTATCACACACATATTATTGCCCTACCAGCCACACTCAGGCAGGCGTTACTTCTGCCGGATCCTGTTTAGATATAGAAAGACACAGCTGATTCCCATCATTCATAGTGACAGTTGTGTCCCAGAAACCCACTGGGAGCACGGAATCAGCACGTATCCTTGCTCCGAAGGGCAGACCAACATTTTCATCGGCCAGTCAACATACAGCCTCGTTCTCTCGTGTTTCTGTGTAAAGACACCTTAATTAATAAACCTTGTCATTCAGTGACGTCGCACTCATCGTCACCAGCACTGTGACTCCCGTCTGGACAAAACTCGCTCACCCGTGTGCTTCCTTAGGGCACACCACACTCTTCCTGGGCACAGGGATGCAGAGACAGCCCTGGGCACTGCACAGGCCCCCCCCAGGGCAGGGAGACCTCCACAGCACCTCATGCGTGGCTGAGAGGACGCTTGTTTTCAGTGTGGGCGCTGAAGTAGGAAGGCAGGGTATCTTTGAGCTTACTGTCAGCATGGGTCGGGTGACTCAGACTTGGTGCCACTCTGCATGTGGCCATGAGTGACAGTGGATGCGAGGCGAGTATAATCTGGGGGTTACAAAAGAGTTTTTAAGGAGCAGATAGACTCACAAACACAGAGTCTGTGGATGATGAGGATGGACAATTACATATCATATTAATACGTCATATTAAGTTACATGTTTGAGTGCATAGAAAAAAGACTGGAAGATATCCATCAAATCATTTGTACTGGTGGATGATTTTGGGTTTCAACATTTTCCAAATTGCCTACAAGGGTCATGAACTGACTTCATGTCCCAAAAATCCCTGACAAAGCGGCTGAACCCAGTCCTTCCGTCTTCCCAGCCCTGCTTCAGCGACAAGACCAAGAACCTGGAGGCGTACGTGAAGTGGTTCAACAGACTGTGCTACCTCGTGGCGACCGAGATCTGCATGGTGCGTGGAGGCCCAGCATGAGCTGGCGTGGCCCATGGCCAGGGCTGGGGGGACCAGAAGGGCTTCTGGAGCCCGTCCATCCCAAAGTCCAGGGCCAGGCTGGGCACCCCTCTGGGACACCAGGTGTCACCTGGCTTGCCTGCAGTGACATTTCCCCTCTGGGCAGAGCCTGGCACAGGTCTGCTGGTCTCTGACAGAGGGTGCTGGAGACCACTCCCTGAAGGAGCTCAGGGCCTCTCTGCTCCCCCATCTGTGCCTGGGCTGCCTGGGCCACAGCCCATGCTGCTGGGCTCACTCGGGGTCTAGCATTAGAAACAACCCAGCCTGTAAGAACTGGGAGATTGCACCATCAAAGTCCAGGTCTCTGGCTTCTAGGAAGGAGGAAGACCCGGCCAGTCTGAACCGGTCATGCATGTCACGTAGCTGGTCCCTCCAGCCAGCCCTGCACGCCCTCTTCTGTCCCGTACAGCGGAGGGACCCTCCTCCGAGCCCCATCTTCACCATCAGGGGAAGCCCGGGGGCCACTTTTCCTCGGGAAAGATTGGAGGTGGCACATGTGCTGGGCTGGGCTCTCCAGAACCAGGTGCTGCAACAGAGCCTGGGGTGCAAGGTATTTATGGTGTGAACACCTGTCCTGGAGGACAGGGCAGGGGCAGGACTGGTCGGAGGTGAAGTCCTGTAATGCCTCTGCCTGTGGCAGTTTCCTGTCCCAGGGCCCACACCAAGGCCAACAGCACTGTCACCCTGCTGCCCTGAGAAGGACAGAGCGGGGCAAAGGTGGCTCTCCGAAGGGGTTGGGCGTGTCTGGGAGGCAGGCCACTTCTGCTCCTGTCAGTTTGAGAAGAGCACAGCGTGGGGCCTGGGGTTCCCGAGCCAGCCCAGGGGGCTTACCTGAGTGAAGCCCCACCCACAGCCCTGCCTGTGGACAGCCGGCCCCTTGCAGGGAGGAGAGGCAAGGAGTGTGCTCTCTGCTTCTGGAGGGGGCACTGGAGCTGAGCCCAGGGGAGAGGGACCTCCCTGTGGAGATGGCTCCTGTGGCCCCACCCCCAGTGCCCGCTGGTGCTGGCTCGCCCAGGGTGTGCTTGAGACCCTGCGCCCTCAGGCCACAGGCTGGCCAGATCACACATCTCAGCCATTAGGAGGGACTGGCTGGGGGAGCAGAGAGCATTGTCAGGGTCAGGGTTGGAAGGGGACCCGTCATCACTGAGGCTCAGGTGCTCTGTCCCCAGCCATCCAAGAAGAAGCGGAGAGCCCAGGTGATCGAGTTCCTCATCGATGTGGCCCGAGAGTGCTTCAACATCGGCAACTTCAACTCTCTCATGGCCATCGTCTGTGAGTGGTGGGCTCCTGGGAGGTGGGTGGGATGCAAACCAGGGTGCTCCTATGTGCAGAGGGTGAGCACCAAAGGTCCAGGGAAGGTGCTCATGTCGAGACAAGCTCAGCCCCCTTAGGGTGCTTGGAGAGGGTTTGGCAGCATGTCCCCAGATCCAGGGAGAAGAGGGGCCCAGAGCAGGACCTGGACACCAAGTGGGGCCAGCGTGCTGGGGCCTGGGACAAGGGCCTGCGCATGCAGAAGCCAGGCCCACCCCAGCACAGCATCTCCCTGCTGTCTGACGGCTGAGGCCGCTGCAGACCTCAGCCCCGGTCAGGGTGCAGCTCTAGGGACCGGGCCACCTGGGGCCCACGGAGGCCTCCTGCCCAGGCTCTGCCTGGGCTGTGCGGCCCTCCCCAGCGTGGCCCTTCCTCCTCCAGCCGGCATGAACATGAGCCCCGTGTCTAGGCTGAAGAAGACCTGGGCCAAAGTGAAGACTGCCAAGTTTTTCATCCTGGAGGTAAGTAAGGCTGCTGAGCAGCCCGCAGACACTGGCTGCCCTCAGATACAGCCACCCACTGCGCCCCTGTCTCCTTCCAGCACCAGATGGATCCCACTGGGAATTTCTGCAACTACAGGACGGCCCTGCGCGGAGCCGCCCACCGCTCACTGACCGCTCACAGCAGCCGGGAGAAGGTAGGCCGGGGGCCTGAACAGCTCCGTTGCTTGGAGTCCCTTCTGTTTTCGATCAAAATGTGGTGCCAAGTCCTTAGGGTCTCACACCGCCTAATTCTAACCTCAGTACCTTCAGAGATGTGGCCTCAGGTCCCAGCGGCATTTCTGGCCATGACTGGCCTGAGCTTCCTGCTGAAACGGCCTCTTCACAGATCAATTCAGTTGCTCCAAATTCTCCTATAGCCTCTAATACAAGAAGCCACCCACAGGCCTTGGGACTGCGGGGACCCTCTGGGTTAAAGCCTGTCACCAGCCGGGGTGACCAGCCTTGCTCATTGCTGTGCACAGCACACACCAGCGCCGGCAGGGGCTGGGGTCTGGCTGGCTGTGGGAACTCTGGCGGGGCCAGGTCCCTGCAGGGTTTGTGCAGGTCTGCTTCCAGCCCCTGGGGGGGCCATAGGACAAGCTGCCGTTCTCAGAATTCTCAGCCACTCTGGAACTGCACGGGGCAGACACAAGTAGCCAGGCTTGGGGTGCTGGCCAAGACGCGCACACTCCTGGCCGACTGGCCCTTCCTGCTCAAGCTGCGCGCACTTACCGGCACGGACCCAGGAGAGTTGAGCAGGTGGGGGCCCCAACCCCAGGACAGGGAGCCTGTGCCCACCCCCTACCCCCAGCCAGGAAGCCGGAAATGGGCAGCAGGACCAGGAACCTCACTTCACGGAGCACCGATTCCAGGAGAGCTGCAGGCCCCCAGCCCCATTAATTCCAACAACTGTTCTGTGGGGTGGATTTCAGCGTCACCACTTCCCTGAGAGGAGCACAGTCATGAGGCGATAGGCAGCAGGGCCAGGCGCCAGACTCTAACCTGTGTGGCTCCGGCTCCGAGTCGTATGGTCTTTGCGCAGCACCAGTGCCTCCTGTTCCCCGGGGCACAGGCTCCGCAAGGTAGCCACAGGGCCTGGGAGGTGGCTGCAGCCTTGCATCCACGGCATCAGTTGTGACTCTGTGCTCTGCACTGCTTCTCTTCAGTCTGCACCGAGGCCGGTGGCCGTGGCCTAGCAGATGCACTGGGACCTCCTGTTCCAGCTCTGGGTGGGGCACTGAGACTCTGCGTGTTGAGGTCTGGTGTTAGAGGCGGCTGACTTACAGAGCCATGTGTTCAGTCTCACTGCATTCACCTCTAACCTCTGGAGAGGGGCAGACTGTGGGTGGGGCCCACAGAAGGTGCTTCCCAGATGGATGGAAGGCTGGAGAGTGGACAGAGGTGTGGATGCATAGGTGGAGGAGTGGATGAAAGGAAGGACAGAGGGATGGATAGAGAGAAGGAATGATGTCGGGAAGGAAGAAGTGAGGGAAGGAAGGAAGGAAGGAAGGAAGGAAGGAAGGTTGGTTGCAAGATGCTCTCACAGCCCCTCCCAGTGCCTTTGCAGCTGCAGCTTAAGGCCCAGAGGCTTTGGCAGTCACTCTGTGCTTTCTTCCTGCCCGTGGCCAGCTCCTGTCTTCACTGCCCTATCCCCACCTCCCCCATTCCGGTCTCCATCACAGGTCCTCTCTACTCAACTTCTCTGGGTGACCTGCAGGCTGAGTGGGCTTCTGGTGGAGCTGCTGAGCTTCAGAAAGCAAGGGCAGTGGGATTATAGTGCAGTCCAGGCAGGGAGACCAGCTGGGACATTAGAGCTGGGTAGGGTGGGCCCGGGCCCACGTGGACAGGCGGGAGTGGTGAGAAGTGCTTGCTCGTGGACAGCTCTGCCACCCTGAGGACCAGCTCTGGCACCTCCAGGAAGCCTGGATCAAGGCCTCGGGGAGCCCTTGGTGTCCTCAGAGTCCCTCTGCCCTTAACCCACTCCCTGTCCCAGCATTTCTGCCCACTGGGCCCAGCTCGGCCTTCACACACCAACCTGGGCCTGGGATGCGGCAGTGGGGGGGGGGTGCGGGAGAAGGCTCAGCACTGCACCAACCACAGTGTGAGGGCCTAGTGCCTGGTGGTGGACCAGCGCGCTAACATGCTAGGGCTGAGCACGCAGCTGGGTGGCTAGAGAAGGGTGTCCTCTCTCAGTGCTCAAGACTATGGGCAAGGCAGGCAGGCCTGCACTCCCTCCAGAGGCTCTCAGGGACGACCCTTCCTTGCCTTTCCGGCTTCTGGTGACTCAGGAGTTCCCTAGCCAGTGGCCACATTGCTGCCACCTCTGCCTCTATCTCCACATGGCCGTCTTTCCTACGTGTGTGCAAATCCCCCTCTCTTTGCAAGGACATTAGTCCCTGGACTGGACCCAGCATCGCCAGCATGACCTTGTCTTAACTCTCTCCAAATACGGTCCCACTGATGGGCACCGGGGCTTGGGACATCGATGTACCTGTTGGGTTGGGGGGATACAGTTCACCCCACAACCGCGGGGTGCAGCCAGCTGGTTCCCCAGAGCGGTCTGAGCTGGAGTGGTGTTCTCAGACCCTCAGGGCAGGCGGAGCAGGGAGGGAGAGGCAGGACCCCGACAGAAGCGTGGGCTCTACCCGCCGCCGCTAAACCTTCAGGAGCCCAAGCAGGGAGCACTTGGCCGCATCACAGTGCAGCAGGCTCAGGTCTTCAGCATCAGAAAACACAGAAAATGATAAGTTGTTAAATGTATGTTAAAGAGGAGGCCGCAGAATGTCACAGCAGGTGCCCCATGGCACTCGGACTTAACGTGTGCACTGTCCCTCCCGACAGGCACTGGAGGCAGGGTCCAGGGGCATTGGGGCTGTGCACCTTCCACCCCGCCAGCCCGAGGTGGAGCAGCATTGGCAGTGGGGGCTCAGCCATCGAGAGGGGCAGGGGCTGGTGAAGCAGGCTGGGCCCAGTGAGCGGGCCTGGGCCTCTGCCCGAGTGGCATCCACGTTGTCCCTGCGGGACACACCACGTAGCCGGGACCCCGTGCGGCTGGCCAGCTGTGTCCAGGAATCCTCTCCTGCCTCTGTGTCCTAAGGATGCACCTGACGTCCCTGGGCCAGTGCCGCTGGCCAGGGCTGACCTGCACCCTGTCCCTTCCAGATCGTCATCCCCTTCTTCAGCCTGCTCATCAAAGACATCTACTTCCTGAACGAGGGCTGTGCCAACCGCCTCCCCAACGGGCACATCAACTTTGAGGTAGGGCCACAGCTGGGCAGGCCAGCACCACAGCCCCCAGGGCAAGGGGCGGGCTGACTGCCAGGCGAACAGGGCGGGCTCCCGGGGTCTCCACACCAGCGCAGGTGCAGCAGAGTGACGTGCAGCCCTTGACAGGCCCCAGGCTGACAGCTGGCAGGTGCTGTGCCGCTGCCCAGGGGCGCCGTGCGTGGTCGGGGAGGCCCCTCCAAGGAGGGACCCGAGCAGCAGGAGGAAGCAGTGGGATGAAGGACAAAGTGGGCACTTGGGAAAACGACATCTCCCTGAGCCACACTCACCTCTGTCAGCGCAGGGTCCTCTCCTCCCAGAAGCCCCCTAACCCCCCAGGCGGAGGGAGGCCCTCGCACAAGAGGCTGGGCATCCTGGGTCCCAGCGCTCCAGTCCCCAGCTCCTCAGAAGCCAGGCGACTGTGCCGCTCTGTCTCCCCACCCGCTCCGGACCCAGCCAGCACCTGGGGCTCCAAGTGGCCAGCACATACAACCCAGATGGCAGGCGACCTGAAGTCATGCTGAGGGAACTCACCCTGCAGCAGAGCTGCCCCAACCCACAGGCCCTCCAGCCCCCAGCTCCCGAGGCAGTTGGTCCTGGGCCGTCCTGTGAGACCAGAGCCGGACCAGTAGAATGAGGGAGCTAGGTGGGCATGCTGGGAGCCCAGAAAGGGCTCTGCAGGTGTTCTCTGGTGACGGGCACCCAGCAGATACCCTCTGCCTCACACAACCACCCCTGCAGGCCTGGCCCCCCAGAGCGCCAGCGGGGACTTGCAGTCCAGCTGCAGTGTCCAGGCTGGGTGTGTCGTGGAATAGGCGGGGCTTGAGAGAGGCTGCAGGGGTTCCAGCGCCTGGAGCTTCAGGTAGCCCCCCAGCTCCCCGCCACACCAGATGTGGGAGCATTTTCCTTTTCACTTTCCTGAGTCTGGGGGGCTAGAGGCAAGACAGCAAGGTGATTCAGAGGGGGCGGGGCCGGCCCAGGGCCCATCAGAGGAGACCAGGAATGGGGCTTCCACCCAGTCATGAATAGATGCTGCTACTTATTTAAAATCTTACTTTTTTTCAACCTAAATAAATGTATTTAAATTTTTCTTACAAATTTTACTTCCATGCATTTACTTAAATGTTCCTTAAATACATTTATTTAAATTTATTTGCGTGCTCTTTAAACAAACAAAAGTGGCATCAGTAGGACAGCCACATCCACAAACAGAATGAGGCTGAAGTAGCTAGAGGCGCTGCCTGCTGAGGGCAGTGACCTGACCCACCCTGCCTCTGCGACACGTGGCGAGTCCCCGGTGTCAGGCGCTGCTGATCCCTTGGAGGGCATGAGCAGAGGTGACACACACCCAGCTTACTGCCCCATGATGCTGCCATTTATTGCCCTTGTCCCATCCTGCTCGCCCTGAGGGGACCAGAGAAGCCTGCCAGGGCCGGCCCCACTCTCCCCGGTGCTGTCGAGGCCCTGGGAGTGGAGTGCAACCATCTCGTCTCTGTGACCCGGGCAGAAGTTTCTGGAGCTGGCCAAGCAGGTTGGGGAGTTCATTACATGGAAACAAGTGGAGTGTCCCTTCGAGCAAGACCCCAGCATCACCCACTACCTGTACACTGCCCCTGTCTTCAGCGAGGACGGTAAGGTGGCCCCTGCCCCACAACTCCTGGGCAATGGGACTCTTGTGTGGCCTCTGGGTCACACTGTCAGTCAGGGCCCCTGCTCTGAGCACAGCACGCCATGCCCACATTGCTGGCTCTGGGAGGGAACAAGAAGGCTGCCCCCTCCCTGGCTGGGCGCTGGCCACTCTCAGAGCACTGGCCAGGGCCAGGGAACTGCAGGCTGGACTCCCCAGGTCCAGACTTCTCCCTGGAGATAGTTTAGGGGCAGTTGGGCACCACAAGCCTGGAGTACCTTGTGTCTGACCCACTTACACACCAGAAAAGTGGGAGTGACGATAAGTACTGCCTTCCCAGGGCCCATGTGAAGATGTCGTTCTGTAGCTGGTGTGCATGTATGAGTGTGGGTGTGATACACACCAGCACCAGAGGAGGCATCTTTTCTTCAGAGTGCTGTAAATGTCTGTCCCCTCCAGAAAATCAGCATTTCTGCCTGGTCATTTGTTAAATACAACAGATTTGCCGGAGAGTTTGCTCAGTGAGGGAACTCCAGGAGCTCCCTGGTTCAGGAAGAGAAAGTGCTGAAGAACCACGTGGCCATTGGGGCCTGAGCTGCCCCTCCTGGTGGCGCAGTGCGACCCCATGGTGAGATGCTCCCTGGATCCAGGACCTGTGAACCCCCTTGGGAGCCTCCTGCTCAGCACTTGTGCCCCAGAGAAAATGTTCTATCAAAAAGAAAAAATCAGAAAGAAGGAATTTCTAGTGACTTTGCTTTTTAATTGTTAATACTTTCCACTTTGCCATTTTATTTTTTTACATTTTGGACCTAGTAACTTTTTGGAGTCCCTTCACACAAGAAGCTCAATAGCCTGGTGGGTGAACCAGCCTGGGCTGCTCCCACCCCAGCAAGCTCTGTGACCCTGGGCAGATCCCTCACCTTCTCTGAGCCTCTTCTGCTGCATCTATTAACTGGGGTCATGTGAGAACATCCTTCCCGGGGCCACTGGGAGATTTTCTTGAGTTGGCACAGCAAAGCCCATAGGACCACGATCCACTGACACTGACTGTATCAGTTTCCTGTTGGCACTGAAACAAATCCCCACAGAGCTGGTGGCTCAGATCTACACAGGGTGATCCTCATTCAGTTCTGGAAGTCAGAAGTCCAAAATCGGTTCCACTGGGCAAAAATCAAGGTGTCGGCAGAACCGGTTATTTGTGGAGGCTCTGGGAGGAGAGTTGTTTCCTGGCCGCCTACAGCCTCCGGTGCTGCCTGTGGCCCTGGGCTCACGCCCCTTCCTCCACCCACAGGGCACATCACTCCAACCTCCCCCAGCACACCGTCTCCTCTCCCCTGTGGTCACGGCTCCCTCGATCTCCTTCTTGAAGGACATTTGTGATGATCCATGATTATCTTTCCATCTCCAAATGCTTTCATTTACTGAATTTTTTGAAAGAGACAGAGACATTGAATTTGTTGTTCCACTTATCTGTGCATTCATTAGTTGATTCTTGTGTGCACCCTGATGGCAGATCAAACCTACAACCTTAGCATATTGAGCCAACACTCTAACTAACCGAACCATGAGGCCAGCACCAGATTCTTACCGTAATCACACCTGCGAAGTTCCTTTTTGCCATAGAAGAGAACATCTTCACAGGTTCTGGGGATGAGCCCCTGGGAGTCTCTGGGGGCCGTTATTCCACCTACAACACCAGTGATTATGGCTATTGTCGTCATCGGCCAGCAGACAGTGGGCAAGCGAGCGTGTCAAAGGCACATTCGGAGAGGAGCAGAAGGGGTCTAGGGACAGGGAGGAGATGAGGGAGGGGCATGCCATTCATTCCTGGAGACAACAGAGTTTCTAGAGAGGCTGCTACGTGCCAGGTAGTGATTCGGCTGTGAGCACACAGATAAGAGCCTGGGCCTCCTAAAGCTCCCTTACAAAAGGGGCACCTTCCCTCTGACCCTTTCTTTCTCCTGTGCCTCCCGAACCACAGAAGTGAAGAAAAGCGAGAGAAGGGAACTCAGTGGTACTCAGCACCAGCTGGGTCATGCAAAGCCTCTGAGAAAAGCTCTGCCTGCCTTCAGCTCCTAGCCTCCCCGGGCAGGGCTGCCTAGCAATCCAGTCAGCCTTGAGGATCTCTGACACAAACGAAAATATAGAAAATCTCAGGAAAGAAACAGAAAATATAAGAGCCAAAAGGAAATTTGAGGACTGAGAAATACAGTAAGTGCAATAAAAACCTGGGTGGATGGGCTCGACTCCGGAATGAAGAGCACAGAAGAACGAATCGGTGAGCGAGAAGGTAAAACCATGGAAATTATGAAACACAGCCTCGGGGGCCCGTGGGGCTGCAACCAAACATCTGCCACTCCTGTCACAGCATCTGGGGACGTGGGGACAAGAGGACGATGTGGGAAAGTACTTGAAGAGATAATGGCTGGAAATTGCCCAGATTTGGAAAAGTCATAAACTCACAGATTCAAGAAGCTGAGTAAACCCAAAGAGGATAAACCCAAGGAAACCATGCCAAGACACACTGTAGCCAAATTTCCGGAAACTTAAGAAAAAGAAACACATCCTAAAGCACTGGGAGAGACATGACATTTCACCCGTAAGGGAAAACAATCCAAATGACATCAGATTCCTTGTCAGAAATGGCTGTGGCCAGAGGCAGTGGCACAGTTTTCAAGTGCAAGTGCTGAAAGAAAATAACCAGCAAGCCAGAATCCTGTGTCCAGTGGGAATGCTGTTCAGGAATTTACTATAGATAGATCAAGATGGAATTTTATAAGATTGCCAGGTAACCCACAGGAAAACAAAGATGAAAACAAAACACAGAGAGAACAAACAGAAAACAAAACAATAAATAAGTTAGCAAACTCAAGCTTTAACAGATCAGTAATTATACTAAATGTAAATGGTCTAACTACACCAAGCAAAACACAAGATCAGCAGAGTAAATCAAAAAGCATGACCCAGCTATGCTGCCTACAAGAAGTTCATTTCAAATATAATGATATGGACAGGTTAAAAGGTTAGAAACGAGGAAGCAACCAAAGGGAAGCAGGAATAGCAATATTAATATCAGATAAAGTATACTTCAGAGGAAAGAAAATTTCCAGAGACAGGGGTATTATTTAGAGGGTCAACCTGCCAAGAAGACATTGCAATTCTAACTGTGTGTCTGCCAAACAACAGAGTCGCAAATTTATGAAGCAAACACTGATAGAACTAAAGGAGATACAAACAGTGCACAGTTACAGTTGGAGACTTCAGTGCCCCTCTCAACAATCGATGGAACGACTGGACAGAAAATCAACAAAGAGCTCACCAATGACATCAAATAACATAACTGACATTTATAGAATACTCCATACTATACATTTACAGAATACACATTTTTTTCAATTGCTCACAGGACATATACTAAAATAGGCCATATCCTGAGCACATAAAATAAACAACAAATTAAAATAATTGAAATCATAAAAAGTTTGTTCTCAGATCACAGTGGAATCAAACTAGAAATAAATAATGTAACAGAAAAATCTCCAAACACGTAGAATCTAAACAGCACATTTCTAAATAATCCATGCATCAAATAAGCTTCCAGAAAAACAAAAAAAAATTGAACTGAGTGAAAATGCAGTAAAAATTTGTGAACCCAGCTAATGCAGGACTGAGAGGGAAGTAGACAGCAGTGAATGCATATATTAGGAAAAAGAGGGGAAGTCTCAAATCAATCATCCACGTTCCCATCTCTAGCACCTAGAAAAAGAGGAGCGAAATGAATCCAGAGCCAGCAGAAGGAAGGAAATGAGAGCACAGGAGAGCAGAAGTCAGTGAAATTGAAACAAAACAGCGATAAAGAACGTCAATTAAACAAAGAGCTGGTTCTTTGAAAAGAAGGGTAAAATTGCCATCCTCTAGCAAAGAACCTCTTGACAGAGAAAAAAAGAAGACAGAACTTGCGAATATCGAGAATGAACGGGGCACCACTGCAGACGCCGCCGACACTGACAGGCTAGTGGGGCAGCACCGTGAACAGCACCGTGCACACACATGTGACTGGTGAAGTGAAACGGGTCACCTTGGAAAACACACACTACCACAGCTCGACATGAAATGCATCATTTGAATAGCCCTATAACTATGGAGGAAATTGAACTTGTAATTTCAAAATGGCCAAAAATGAAATGCCTGGAGAATTCTATTAAACACTTAAAGAAGAGTTAATACCAATTGTGCACAATCTCTTTTAAAAATATAGAACAGGCAACTTCCCAATCCATTTCATGAAGTCAGTGTTACCCTGATACCAAACCAGATAAAGACTGTATAAAAATAATAATAGAAACCAATACCCCTCATGAATACAGGTAGAAACATTCCTTAATAAAATATTAGCATATGTAATTGGGCAATATATAAAAATAATTATCATCATGACAGTGGTTTTTTTCCAGAGATGCAAGGCTATTTAATATTTGAAAATCATCAGTGTAATCTACCATATTAACAAGCTGAAGGAGAACCACTTGATTATATCAATCATAGAAAAACATTTCGCAGATTTTTTAAATTTTATTTCTTTATTTTTAGAGAGAGGGGAAGGGAGGGAGGAGAGGGAGAGAAACATCAGTGTGCAATAGAAACATCCATTGGTTTTCTCTCACACGCCCCCAATGGGGACCAAACCCACAAACCAGCCATGTGCTCTGACCTCGGAATCAAACTGGCGACCTTTTGGTTTGTGGGACGATGCTCCAGCAGCTGAGCCACACCAACCAGGGCACATTTCACAACTTCCATTATGCATGCCTGGACAAAACTCTCAGAAAAATAAGACTAGAAGGAAATGGATCAACTTAACAAACTGCATCTGCAGAATCGCTTCAGCTAACATTATATTCGGTTGAGAAGGACTGAATGCTTCTCACTAGGATCAGTACAGGCAAGGACATCTACTCTCATCACTATCATTCCACATAGTAATGGAAGACCTAGTGTGTACAATAAGGAAAGACAAGGAAGTAAGGCAAGAAAGGGAAACACAGACAACAGTATGGTGATGACTTGGGGGAGAGAAGGGGGAGAGACAGAAGATGGTAAAGGAGGGATAAATGGTGATGGAAGGAGACTTGGGGTGGTGAACACACACTACAATAATAGGATGATACATTATAGAATCATACACCTGACTATATAATTTTATTAGCCAATGTCACCCCAATACATTCAATAAAAGTTTTTAAAAGACATACAGCTCAGAAAGGAAGAATTAACATCATCCCTATTTGCAGAAGTAAAAGTATCCCAAGGAATCTACAAAAACTCCTGGAGCTTAGTGAGCTCAGCAAAAGTTGTAGAATACAAGATAAAAGTGCAGAAGTCTACTGTATTTCTGTGTGCTGGCAATGCCTATGAAGACACCAAAATTAAAAATACAGTACCATTCATAATTGCTCCAAAAAATGAAGTAGGCGTGAATCTAACGAAAACATGTATGAGATTCATACGCTAAAAATGACACAATCCTGATGAGAAAAATTAGAGAAGAGCTGAATGTACGGAAAGACGTGCTGTTCATGGATTGAAAGACTGAACGTAGCAAAGATACGAATTCTTCTTCTCAGATTTAAGCACAAGTTTCATGCAATTCCTACCAAAATCCCAGAAACATATTTTTGTAGACAGAGACGAGTTTATTCTAAAATTTATATGAAGCAACAAAAGGCCTAGAATAGCTGAAACAATTTTGGAGGGGGGAAGAATAAAGTGGAAAGGATCACTCTACCCAGTATCAAGGCCAAAATTCTCTGGCCACAGTGACAGAAACAGTGGGGCAGTGGCAGGACAGATGCGGGAACCGCGACAGAGCCCCAGGACGGGCCCGGGGTTGACAGGGCCGAAAAAGCGGGTCAGGCGGGGGAAGACAGCCTTCTCAACCCTCGGTGCGGGGTGTTCAGACTTCCGCGGGCCCAAAAATTAACCCTGACCTAAGGGTCACACTTAAACAAAAATCAACTCAAAAGGATCACGGACTCAAATGTAAAACTATGAAAAAAGCAGAGAAAATATTTAGGATGTAGAACTAAACAAAATTTCTTATAAAACTAAGTACACAACTAAATATGACTCAGCAGTTGCACTCTTACACACTTATCCCAGAGAAAGCAATCCTTATGCTCACACATAAGCCCAGACGCAGCTTGTCCACCGACTGGGGAGCAGCGCGGACGACCCCCCACTCCCCAAAACCGAGGGGGTGGTCGGGCAGCCGCTGGTGCCCCCACCGCCGAGCCAAGCGCTGCGCAGCACAGGGCAGCGGCCGACGTCCAAAGCTCCCGAGAATTCTGCTAGAAGAGCCAGTCCCAAAAGGTTACATACTGTTCGACTCCATCTGTCACATTGTTGAAATGACAGAGAGGACAGATTAGTGGTTGCCAGGGGTTAGGAAAGGGAAATGGGAGGGAGGTGGGCGCGGCTATAAAGGGCACAGGAGGGCTCCTGGTGGGAGGCACGCTCTGCTGTGGGTGGGGTTTGGGGGCGTCGGTGTCAGCTCCCCCAGCCATCCTGCCCTGAGGTTTTGCAAGTGATTGTCATTCTGAAACACTGGGCACCCAGTGCATGGCTCTGTGTTACTTCCTACAACTGCCTGCGAGTCCACAATTATCTCCCAACGCAAATTTAATTGTAACACTCTCCATGTAGAACAGGTTATTATCATCAACCATAATTGGGTAATTTCACTTCATTTTCTGGCTAGGTCTTTATTTGGCTTCTTATGAAAGTGAGAGCCCAGAGAACCACACAGAAAAAGAGAGGTGGAAATCTCTCAGGTGAGTCTGTGTGCCCCGGCAGGAGTGGGGGTGGGCTGGGGGAGGGGGTGGGTGCTTGGAGCCTGGACAGGGCTCCCGGGCTTCATCAAGCCTGGCTCATCCACCTCCTGGGAGTCCCCAGCTCTTGAGGACAGAGCACAGGTCAGGCCATGACCCTGGGTTGAGGGTGGAACTCAAGGGCTGGATAGAAGAGGAGGCTGGGACCATGACCTTGCCATGGCTGGTGGCTGCCCCTGGAGGCGATCAAGACGTATGTCCCCGGGGCTTAGAACCCCTAGCCCCCATCCTTGTGCCAGAAGTAAGGCATGCACCACCTTCTGCTTGTTCAGCCCATTGGCACAGCCGAGTGGCAGGCTGAAGTGACCGACATTGGTGGGCCTGAGCCAAGGACATGGCACAAGGCCACCTGGGGTGGGAGGCCACCTGCTGAGGAGGTCACACACTGGAGAGAAGAATAACCAAGGGCCGGGCCTGTTTAAATCTGCAGGTCTTCTATTTTGGGAAAGACGTGAGGATCGGGGAGCTGGAGGAGGAGGAGGAGGAGGAGGAGGAGAGGAAGCCCTCTGCAGCCCTGACGTGGCTGGTCCAGAGGTCGGGGAGGCCTGGGTGCCTCACTGCTCTGCACACAGTGACTCGGTGGCCCGGTGCCCGACATGTTGACCACGTGGCTCAGGAGACTTTTCTCCTCCTTTGGTGGGACCTCGACCCTGGCAGGGCCCAGGACCTCCAGATTCGTGGGCAGCACGTGCCTCAGGGGCCCTGACCGCGGGACCATGGTGGCCACATTGCCGAGCAGTCTGTCCATCCTCCACGAGGACCCATTCTCACCAGGCGACTCCAGCGTGGAGGCCAACACCGCTCTGCTGCCAGGGGCCTGAGAGACTGGTGTGCTGTGAGAGGGGTGCTGTGGGAGGGGCCCCGCACTCTACAGAGGGCCCCTCCCCTGCCCCTTGAGATGGACTGGTTTCTGCAGCCCTGGGCACCCCCTTTCTGGATCTTTTTGGTGTCAGGGGACGGCTTTCTGGTGATAGCTAGGACTCTGGTCAGCAGGACAGACTTGAGTCACGGAGTTAGCAACCTGTACAGCACCTTGTAAACTGTCGAACTGGTATAAACACATTCATACACCATGCGTCCCCATGTCCACGTCACGTCTCTCACCAAGGGCATCTGCCGGCACACGGGCCAGGGAACACTGTGACCATGGGCAGGTGCGGGTGTAGGGGCCACTTCCACCCCAGGGCCCCCAGGCCGTGCCGACTGACAGGGCCTGCTGCCAAGTGAGTGCTCGACAAACCTCGGACGAGCAGATTTCACAGCCCTGTGCACAGCCAGGTGCCTCTCTGTCGTGGGTGGGGTGGCAGGGGGAGTCTGAAGCCGGGAGGCACCCCCAACCCACCATGAGACTCCAGCCATGGGGCTCCCACACAGCCCCGTACACACTGAGCCAAGCTTCTGGGTCCGGGAGCAGATAGGTTGTGGGGCTGCTGAGCCCTCACTTGGCATGTGGCCAGGCTCCCCAGCCAGGAAGCCCGGGGGTGTGCTGTACACCACCATTCCCAGGCAGAGAGGTGTGTGTCAGGGCTGAACTGACACAGCCTGGCCGGCTCCCAGCCACCTTGGGCCCTACCCAAGACCAGGCTCAGCTATCTGGGCAACGGGGTGACCTTGGGACCTTGACAAGATTCCCAGAGGGCCAGCAGCCTGGCAGAGGCAAGGGGCACTGCATGTAAGGGAGAAGACGGGGCTGCTCTGTGCCCTGACCAGTCCCCCTGCTCCAGCTGAGACCTCAGAGAAGCCAAGTCTGCAGGGAACGGGCGGCAGAGCGGGGACCAGGCTTCAGCTGCACCTAGCTCCTGACAGGGGCCTGGGCAAGGCCCTTGGGCCAAATCTGAAGTGTCCTGGGGGTCCCTGGAGGTGGCTAGAAACCCCTCATCCCCTCAACCCCTCAGCCCCACCCAGCGTGCACTGTCGGGGTCTGGCCTTTCCTGGGGCTACGTCAGCAGGGACTGTCTGCCTCCTGGTCACACTGAGTGGGGCCTCTCAGGAGCAGGGTAAGTGGTCTTGCAGACACACAGTGGCAGCTGCAGGGCTGGGGGCCTTGGGCTCTGGGAGGCCTGCCCACCACGCAGTCCCCTCCAGAGGGAGCTGTACTCTGCCCCAGCCCCAGTAGATGGGACATTCAGAAGGAGGCTCCCAGCCCACACCAAGGGCCCAGGCGTCACCTACCTCCTGGCTCCATCTTCTTACTCCTGAGGAACTCAGTGCAAGGGCCTGTGAGGAGACCCCAGAAGGCTGAGCTCCGGGGATGGCAGCTGTCCCTTCCTGCCTCCCTCAATCCCCCACCCGGGCCCAGGATCCCAGCTCTCTCCCCAAACCAGCCCCCAGGTGCCTCCCACAGCCGTGCTCCCTGCAGCCGAGGCCCAGCTCAGCCGGCTGCGTCTGCAGGAGATGACAGCAGCCTCCTCCCAGCTGTGAGGAGCTCTGGGAAAGGATGCTGGAGAAAGAGGTGCAGGGCCTGTGCCTGAAACTCCAGGGCAGCCAGTCAGTCCCACTTGTCAGTGCTAATAGAGGGTGTGGCGGCACCGCTGCCCCAGGCCTACAGGCCCCACACCAAGGAAATGCCCTTTCCTATTTCCTGCTGTACTGCTCTTCCCACGGCCTGGCATGCTATTCCCCACTTTGTGGATCTCACTGGAGCTCCAGCCACTGGGGAAGGAGTCCTGACATGCTCCCACCAGCCCCTGCGTGGCCTGGCACAGATGGTGGGTATCAGGAGAGGGTGGTGAGGGGATGCCTGGGCTCAGCCCTAGTTTGGGGGAGGGTATGACCAGCCCTGTCCAGGGGCAGGGTCGGGTGACAGGGACTGAGTACAGTTGTGTCTCAGGTTTATGCAAGGGCCCTGGGTAGGCTGTCCACCTCTCTGAGCAGCCATGAGGTGCCAGGCCCCAGGGCAGCCGGGAGGAGGGCCTTCCCTCTAAGGACCTGCCCAGCAGCCCCTGGCTGGGTGCCCTTTCTCTGGGTGCAGTCTCGAGGCCAGAGGGGGTGGTACCCCACTCACAGCCACACAGGTGGTTCCTTAGCCACATCTAGGACTCAGGGCCCTTCCTGGCAGAGGCCCTCTATCCTTCCACCATCCTGCTCAGACCTCAGACAGCCCACAGGGGCTCCAACGAGCAGGGCCTACACTTTGGAGCAGACACAGGTGGTGCCCCAGACTGATGCCCCTGAGGCCCTGCTCAGTGCCAGAGGACACGAGCCCAGCACACTCCCCAGTGTGAAGCTGCCACTCGGTGCTCAGGCCTCAGGGCTACAGGCTGGCTGGCAGCCCAGCTGTGCCCAGGCGGCCAGGAAAGGGCTGTGGCTGGGGCCTCTCCTTCCTGCCTGGCACTTTCTTCTGAGCCCCTCCCGGGAAGGGAACAGGTAGGTGGGGCCAGGAAGACCTCCCAACTGGGATTCGTCTCAGAGGCCTCAGACCTGGCTGGGGTTCAGAATCAATTCTTCTCACATGGGTGACTGCGGGTCCTCGAGACCCTGCCCCACATTGTGGCATCCTTGGAGAGCCCCCCCAAAGTCTGCCATGCCCCATGCCCTTCAGGTCCCTGGGAAGGTGTCTCATTATGACCAGTGGCTAATCCCTGGAACCCAGCCATAGCCAGGCCTCTGGGAAAGCCTGTCCCTTCTGCACAGAAGACCTCTGGGCAGGACTCCAAGTAACCCCAGGGTAGTCCTCAAAGAGGTGGCCAAAGTTGTCCCACAACACCACAGACCCTGCCCCTGACAACTCGGGGACAGCACCAGCGTGGCCCCTGCTCCTCAGGTCTCTCAGGCCGCTGTATCCCACCCTGTTGCAGGACTTATCCTCAGTCCTCGAGGGTCTCCCCCGCCACAGCACTGCCAGCAATGCCCTCCCCAGGCTCGAACTCTCTGCTGATGAGCCCATCGATGGCCAAGAGCCACAGCCACAGGGCCACTCAGCTGGAAGCTCCGTTTCACCCCTAAACGCAGCTCTCCGTCGTGAGTGCCCAGCCCAGCCCTGGCCCAGCAAACCCCATGAAAGTGGTGCCGTCACCGTCCCCCAGGGCCAGGGCCGGCAAGCAGGGAGCGGGATTAGCCCATCACCGCAGCCCTGCACGTGGGCACCGCCGCTGAGATGAGGGACCGTGTCTGTGACAGGCCGCAGGTGCATGCGCATCGGTGTGAGAGGAACAGGAAAGAAGGGGCATTTGCACTCACTTGTGTTACATTAAAAATCTCTTCAAAACTAAAACATTAAAAAATACACAGAAGCCTAATCATGATAGGATAGTGAACGTTTGAAATGTGCACTGGGTGGATGGAGAAAGACTTTCTGCTTTTGAATCATGCCATGTATTACTTATTTGAATTAATGAATTAAAATTTAACACACACACACCTCTCAGAATCTGAGGGGAGAGAAAACTGCAGCCAGTTTCCAGCTGTGGGAGGCTTCCCTGGCATGGGTGACCAGACAGGGTCTGCATACTCTGAGCTTCACAGGATATTGCTCCCGAGAGTGCCGGCGCCAGCCTAGGTGCCCGCCAGCGGGGTTCGGGGGCCTCCGGGTCCTTGACAGCACTTAGTGTCATCAGGACATGTTCTTGCTGCGAGGTGCATGTGTGCCAAGATGAGGACATAAGTCAGGAAAGATGACGGAGGTCAGAAATCCCAGCCTGTGTCACTGGGCAAGAACAGGCACGCCCTGGGGGGTGGGGGAGGGGTGGACGGGGCAGACTGCAGGGAGTGGGAGGCAGGCCTGGGGTGGGGGCAGGGGGCGGCTGCAGGGGCAGAGCCTGGGGTTCCGACCAGGGTGCCCCGGGTACAGGGAGCACAGGAGTGGCAGGGAAAGGCTGGATTTGTTATAAGCCCTTTAACACTATAAATCATTTTCAAGCAATTCTCTGGCTTTAAAAGTAACTTTTAAAGCCAAATCATAAAATTTCATTCAAGCAACCAACATACAACAAAAAATCGCAGTGAATCGCTGTGGGCGGCAGGCTGGGCTCCCGCACCCGAGAGGGCCTGTGGCTTCGCAGGGGTCCAGCACCCAGCGTGGCAAGCCAGGTGACAGGCAAGTGCAGGGGCCACTGAAGGCAATGTACCCCTCAAAGGTGCCTGCTTCCAAATCAGTGTGACCCCAGCACACGGTGAGGGGCTGGGGCACAGGCAGGGGAGGGACAGGGACGTGTCTCAGGGCAGTGGCCATGCAGGGCCTCTCCAGGCACCAGGAGCAGAAACCTCAGAGTGGAGGCAGGAGGAGCTCCACACGCTCCCAGAAACACAAGCATAAGGGTTGACAATGATTGAAAAAGAAACAGCTTCTGGAGATTGTCTTAGGAGCACAGAGTAAATGAAGGAAATATTAAGAAAATATAGTAAAGCTCAGACTGGATGGCCCACTCTCCCACTCTTGGCTCTCAGTGCCGAGTGACAGAGGCTGTGTCCCAGGCAGGTGCAGCCAAGCACACAGGGCCGCCTGCCCCCCCCACTGCAGGCCCAGGCAAGGCTCCCTGTCTCCCCCAGAGGAACAGGTGCAAGCATGTCTCAGTGCCCACCCCCCTCGCTCCTTCTGGCCAAAGATAAATCCTGAGTAAGTATAAGATGAGTGGTTGGGGCCCCCTTTCTCCACCAGCCCCCACATTCATAGGGTGGAAACTCAGCCTTAGGTGCTTTAGTCAGAGGACATAGAAACCCTGGCCGCCCTCACCACAGCAGGGTGAGGACCCAGAGTGGCAGAGGCCAGCCGAGAAGACCAGGCCGAGCTCTGGGAAGGGTCTTGTGACTAAATGATAGGTGCAAGAAAGAGGGGGTGGAAGGCAAAGTAGGTGGCTAATGCACGAAGAGGATTTTGACTTTTACTCTCTAGGTCCTTGGAAGCCATTGAAGAGTCATGGTCCCTGACAGGGTCACATTCTTTTCCCTGTGGTCAGTCTGCCAGTTGGGGAAGAGGGAACCACTGGGGGCAGACAGGCCATCAAGGAAAACAGGCAGTGAGTAAAGAGTTCGAGGCAAAGCTTATCCAGGTAGACAGATGGGTGGATGAGTGAATGGATAGATGGATGGAGGGAGGGAAGATGGGAGGGAGAAATGGAGGCAGAGAAAGAGGGATGGTTGGACAGATGGGGCAAAGTGATGGGAACAGAAAGTGTTAAGGAAGTAGGCTGCACAGGCCGTGGGGACCACCTGCATGTGTAAGAGTCATGTGCTGCAGCCC